TTCTTGTTCCCTTTCTTACAGCTAAGTCCTCCCACTGTAACAGCTTTTGTTTCTCTGCTGTAGCGATCTCTACGTCCATGGAGTACCCATGTTGGAATAGACTTCTAAGGAGAGGGTTCATCCCGTTGAGCTGGATGCGGGGCGGCTCGTGACCGGGGCGGCTCAACGAGTCTGCCTTGTTCTATAGCCCGGGCTTGTAGACGATGTCGTAGTGGAAGTGAGTCTCCAAGAAGTCCACACACTGCACCTGTCCTTGTGAGAGTGTCGGCTGTGACTTCAGGTAATTGAGGCTGCAGTGGTCAGTGTAAACTGCAGTCTTGGCTCCCTCTATATAATACCTCCACGCCATGAAGGCTGCGAGCGGCGAGCACAAAATTTTCTTGAGGGCCGAGAAGGCAGCTTGCTCTTTCTCCCCCCACGTATACTCAACCCCCTTCCTCAGCAGGTCGGTCAACAGAGGAGTCAAGTTCGCCATGTCAAGGACGAACCGGCGCACGTAGCTGACGAACCCCAAAAAACTATGCAGCTCAATCAGATTTGTCGCCGCGTGCCAAGCTTGAATCGTCGCGATCTTCTTCGGGTCTATTTCCACTTCGTCAGCTGAAATAATGTGGCCTAAAAAATCTAGTCTATCTTGTAGAAACTCACACATAGATGCTTTTGTTCTCACTCAGTATATTAAAAATTGCTTCGATGTCCTGTAGGTGATGTGCTCGGTCGGGGCTGTAAATCAGTATGTCATCTAAGTAGACGATGATGCATTTATCTAAAAGCGGGCGGAAGGCTTCGCTCATCGTCATTTGAAAAGTGGCAGGGGCGTTGGTCAATCCGTAGGGCATGACGGTGTATTCGAAGGATCCGTAGCATGTACGAAACGCTGTCTTTGGGCAGTCGGGTGGGTTGACCGCGAACTTGGTGGTAACCCCCTCTAAGTTCGATTTTCAAGAAAACCTAGGCGGTGCTTAGTTGGTCGATCAATTCGTCGGCTCGCGGGATGGGGAAACGGGATTTGATGGTAGCCATGTTTAGTGCTTTGTAATCTATGCACATGTTCAATCCCCGTCCTTCTTCGGCGTAAACAGTATCGGTGCCACAAAGGGAGACGAACTCGGGTGAATAACTCCATCTGGAGCAGGTAATCCAGCTGCTTCCTCTGTTCGTCCTGTTTGGGTTGGGTCGGTCGGAGCTGTCGCTGTACTGTCGGCTGTGCCCCCGGTCCTAACTCTATCTTGTGGTCATGCGGTCGCTGAGGTGGCACTCATGTCGGCAGGTCATTCGGAAATATCCCACTGTACCGCTTCAGGAGTGCTGCCAAGTCATCCTGTACGTCGGCTAGCAGTTTCTGTAACTCCCCCCCTTTGTCTGCTGCCCTGACAATCTGAATGTCAACCGTGTACACGTCAGCTCCTGCCGCTACGGCACGTTTCAATCGTGATCTCGTTGACACGCACCGACGAAGACTCAGGCAAGCCCCAACGAGGTAAGGCGATGTTGTTACCGTTCACTTGCACGGTGCAATCACCCGTCGTTTAGTCGATACACGGATTGTGTCGTCGCAACCAATCACGGCCGAGTAAAATGTCGGTTCCGTCGAGGGTTGTCAGGAGCATTTCTTGGCTAAACGTGAAGTTAACCCCGCATCAAATCCGAACCCGGTCTACGTGTTCCCGTATCGCCAGTGGTGTGCCATCAACCAATCTTGCATCGATCTCAGGTAAGCATCTGTCTAGTGGCAGTTTCAGTTTCCGTGGCGTGGCGGTGTTGATCAAACTGTAGCTGGCTCCCCCGTCGACAAATATTTTGACTAAGTGTGTCCCAATTTTCCCACTAAGCAGTATGGGGCTATCTACCGTAGTACCCTCCTTATTCAGCCGGGTGTGGTCGATTGCGTGAACCGGCACAATCACTCGGTGAGGGTCGGTTGGCTCAATACCATGTCAAGAAACTATCCTTAGGAGCCTAGGCCAACGTATGTCGAGAGAGTTGTTGCCAAGGTAAGCGAGAATGGATGGGTTCACTATAGCACACAAGCTACAAATAGAAAACTAGCAAAGGTGCATCACCAAACAAACAATTAACGAACTACACTACAATAACTACAGCAAGCAGGATAGATATTAAATATAACTTTAACAGTAGTCGCTCATTACTCCTCTCCTGCCACTGCTGCTGCTCTCGGCCGCCTTATACTGCCCTACCTCTTTCTTGAGCTATCCGCCTTTGCCACAGGCGACGACCTAGTCACCCACCTTCGCACTAGTGACACTCGCTACCGTGCTCTAGGTGCTAGTGAGTCTGCTCTCCCTGGTACTACGCCTACTCGGGCCTTGCACACCTTCACGCTTGACTCAGGTGCTTCCCGCTGTTTCTTTTGCGACAATACCACAGTCACACCACTCCCTGCACCTGCTGCAGACAGACTGGCTGACTCCTCAGGGGGCCCCGTTCTTGCACGTTCCTCCAGTGTTCTCCCGTGTCCGGCAGTTCCGTCCGACTCGCTCTAAGGTCTTCACCTCCCCTCGTTCTCTACGAACTTGGTAAGTACCGGTGCCCTCCAGGATGCGATGGTCACTACCACCACTCTTGGGGGTCAGCGTGTGTCGATCTTCACGTGTACACGGACGAGCCGTCACCTGGCCACGTTCATCCGCCGGCCTGGGTCGAGTCTGTACACACTGACTACTGAGCCTCCTTAGGTAGCCGTGTCAAGTCAGCTAGCAACCTTCTGTTCGTGTCGCCTCCTATCGCACCAGACTCTCCTTTGGCACCACCGCCTTGGTCTCCCTCCCTGCCACGCCTCCGTGGCATGCACTCCCGCCTCCTTGTCTCTGGTCTTCCCAGGTCTCTGCCTCCCCTCCCACCCTCGCCTGCCCCTCCCTGCCTTCCCTGTGTTTCGAGGCGGCAGTGCGCCGCTCCTCACTCCTCCTCGATTCCCTCGACGACTTCTCCCCTGCAGACTCTCCACGTGGACGTGTGGGGCCCTGGTCGGGCGAGCGGCGTGACCTCTCACTAGAGGGCCCGTCTGCTACTAACTCCCAGCGTTTCCCTGCTGCTTGGTCTGTTTCTGCTGCTCAGCTTCCCCCTTTCCCTTAGTGTTTTCCGGGCATTCGCTCTTATTGTGTTTCGGTCGATTGCAAGTGACAGCAGCACCCTTTAAAACGGTGCGGCAACGGCATTCACGGCGACGCCACGTGTCGTGGCGCCCTCGTTCCACGAGATCGATGTCCCCAGTTGGTGCTGCTTCCGTAGGACCCCGTGTAAGAACATTATAGCTCATGCATATTATGTAGGCTATAGTGGGGTAGCCCATAAGGGGTACAACCCAATTAGGGTTAGTACTTGTACCCAATTCATTCATAGTTCATCCATTCTCGTTTCTTCTCATGGTATCGAGCAGGTTCCCTCGTGGGAACTGTTCCTAGGGCCCACCAAGTCGAAATATTTTTTCCTGCCCGGGAGCGCGCTTTGCTTAGGCCCGAGTCGCGCCTCGTGTGCCCTCTCTACCGTCGCGCCCGTCCTAGGCCTCCTTCGGCCCCGTCGCGTCGCCCCTAGCGGCCTCCCTCGCGCCGCCCTTACTCGGGGCCCGTCGCCGCCCCTTCTCGGCCTGACGCCGCCCTACTTGGCCCGTCGCCGCCCTACTACGGCCCGTCGCGGCCCTTCCGCGGCCCGTCGCCACCCTAAGCAGCCCGTCGCCGCCCTTGCGCCGCCCTCACACGCGGCCCTGCCACCTACCTGCGGGCGCGACCACCCATACCAGCGGCCCCGCCGCCCTTATCCTGCGGCCCCGCCGCCCTTACCTGCGGCCCAGCCACCCTTTACCTGCGGCCCCACGCCCTTTCGCTGCGGCCCCGCCACCTTACCTGCGGCCCCGCCGCCCTTCACTGCGGCCCCCCGCCACTTTACTTGCGGCCCCGCCCACCTTACCTGCGGCCCCCACCGCCCTTCGCTGCGGCCCCCGCCACCTTACCTGCGGCCCCGTCGCCTGCTGCTACGGCCCCGCCACCTTACATGCGGCCCCGCCGCCCTTACCTGCGGCCCCCGCCACCTTACCTGCGGCCCCGCCACCTTACCTGCGGGCCCGCCGCCCTTCGCTCCGGCCCCGCCCACCTTACCTGCGGCCCCGCCGCCCTTACCTGCGGGCCACCCGTCGCCTGCTGCAGCGCCGCCCGCCACCCGAGCTGCCCCAGCCTCCATACCCAGCCAAGCAGCCGACCGCCGCACCGCCCTGAAGCCGAACCGCCGAGCAGCCCAGCCGCCTAGCAGCCGAGCCGCAGAGCCGCCCAGCCGCCGAGCCGCCCAGAAGCCGAGCCGCCCAGAAGCCGAGCCGCCCAGCAGCCGAGCCGCCCAGCAGCCGAGCCGCCCAGCAGCCGAGCCGCATAGTAGCCGAGCCGCCCAGCAGCCGAGCCGCCCAACAGCCGAGCCGCCCGCGCCGCCGAGCCGCCCGAGCCGCCCTATCTAGTAAGAGCAGCGCCTCTTTCTTAGCACTGCCCTTACCCTACTGTTTACGCTGCTGGTCTACTGCTGTCATAGCTACCCATAGTGTCCTTGCTTTTGACGCTGAGGGTCGGGCCATTGACTTTGACGTCTTGATAGATGACCTGCAGCTTTTCTTACAGTGCGATAGGGCAGACGGACTCTCTCTCTTTGACCTCACCTCCGGTGCCTCTCCTGCCCCTGCTGCTGATGCTGACGCTACTGTTTGCTCACATTGGGCCATGCGCGATGCTGCTGCACGTCTTGCTGTGCGTCGCCACCTTCCTACCTCTGAGCGTGCGCACTTTAGCGAGTACAAGAGTGCTCAGACCTTGTACGACGCTGTAGTTGCACGCTACTCCTCCTCTGCCACTAGGCTGCACAGAGCCGCCTCATGCTACCGTACCTCTTCCCTGACCTTTGCTGCCTTTCCCACAGTCGCTGACCTCATTACGCACCTCCGCACTAGTGACACTCGCTACCGCGCTGCGCTTCCTGCTGAGTTCTGCGCCAAGAACCCCCCCCCCATGTACATCACTCTCTACTACATAGTCACCCGTCTCCCTGACTCCCTTCGCGTAGTCAGGGACCACTTTCTCTCAGTCTGTCCCACCACTCTCACTGTTGACCTCCTCGAGAAGGCCCTCCTAGCAGTGGAGAAGAGCATAGTCGCTGTAGGGGCCTCTCGTGGTGACCCGCGCACCCCGATCTTTGAGGGGTGTGTTCCCCCTCCCCTCTCTTGCCCTCTGTTGCCTCTGCTGTTGCGGCCGACCTCGTTGGTCTGGAGTCGATCGGTGCGGCGTCTACCCCTAGTAGGAAGCGTCGCTCTGGCAAGGGCAAGGGGGGCAGGGGCGCTGGAGGAGCTAGCGGGGGCGGTGGAGGCGGCGGTGGAGGCAGTGGAGGGGGTGGGGGTGGTGGTGGGAGTGATGGCGGGGGTGGAGGTGTCGGCGGCGGCAGTGGAGGCGGCGGCGGCGGTGGCGGTGGGAGCGGAGGTGGTGGAGGTGGCAGAGGTGGAGGAGGGCGGTGGCGGAGAAGGAGGAGGAGGAGGTTGTGGCTCTTCGCAGAGGAGTGGCTCCAGTGGTGGTCAACGCCAGCAGCAGCAGCGCAGTCGGGAGACCCTGTCCCCTCAGCAGCTCCGTGAGTGGTACTCTGCAAGCCAGCGGGGTGGGGTTACTCGTCCTTCAACCTACGTCCTGCGCAACGCGGCTACCGTGGCGGGTGAGCAGTGTGGGGGTGCGCACCCCACCCAGCGCTGCTTTGGCCGCCTGACGGACGCTTTGGCCTCACCTGTTCCCGGAGGCCACTGAGATCCCTTGCTGGGGCGAGCTGTCTAGGGCAGGGGGTAGCTAACTTTGACCTTGACTTTGATGCTATTCTTGCTGCTATGTATACTGTGTCTATTAGTAAGGAGGGTGACTGTTACCGTGGTTTCCCGCCGACACGGCCATTGCGACTGCTCTGCTCTAGGTGCTGGTGAGGCTGCTGCTCTTGGTGCTAGCGAGGCTGCTGCTCTAGGTGCTAGTGCGTCTGCTTCCTCCGGTACAAGGTTGAGTCTACGCTCTTAGGTACTGCGTCAGCTTCGGCCTCCCCACACATTCACACTTGACTCAGGGGCTTCTCGCTCCTTCTTCCGAGACCGCACCACACTCAACGCCGCTTGGAAGTCGGACAGTTGCAGTCTCCCTGACAGACCCTCTAAGGGGTCCTGTCCTTGCTCACTTCTCCACTGTCCTCCCGTGTCCGGCGGCCCCCTCTGGCACCCTGTCTGGTCTTTACCTCCCCTCGTTCTCTACAAACTTGGTGAGTGGTGCTGACCTACAGGATGCAGGGGTTCACCAGTTCATTCCTGCGAGTTAGCGGATGACCCACTGCACGGACGCTCGGACAGGCCGACACCTGGCCACGTTTGCACGTCAGCCGAGGTCGAGCCTGTACACACTGACCACTGCGTCTCCTCTAGTCCCTGCGTCTGGTCAGGTAGCTGCGTCGGGTCAGTGTTAGCTTCAGCGTCCATGTCTGGTCCTGAGTCTGCCCCCTGCTCGTGTCGCCTCCTGTCTCACGAGACTCTCCTCTGGCACCACCGCCTTGGTCACCCCTCCCTGCTTCGTCTCCGAAGCATGGCCTTCCGTGTCCTTGTCTCTGGTCTTCCCCGGTCCCTCCCTACCCTTCCTCCAGGGCCCGGCCCTACCTGCGTCCCCTGTGTCGAGGGGCGGCAGCGGGCTGCCCCTCACTCTCCTAGTTTCCTCTGACAGAGGCCGTGCTGCAGACGCTTCACTGGACGTGTGGGGCCCAGCCCGCGTCCGTGGACAGGGTCACAAGCGCTAATTCCTACTGGTGTTGACAACTACTCGCGTTACACCACAGTCTTCCCTTGCGCATCAAGGGTGATGTCACTGATGGTGTTTGATCGACTGATCCGACGCAGCTCGTCTCCAGCTCAGGCAGAGCTTCAGCTCGGACCTTTCCTGTTCTGCGTCTGCACTCGGATAGAGGCCGAGAGTTCTCCTTCTGGCCTTCTACGAGCCTACTGTCGTGCATGAGGCATCCGCCAGACCTTCACGCAGCTTCCGGAATCTCCAGAGCAAATGGGATTGCTGAGCGCCTGCATTGGCATGGTCATGGGACGTCGCCCGTACGTCCATGATGCATGCGGCTGCCCCCATTTTCTGTGGCCGTTTGCGGTTCGGTTACGCGGCGCATCAGATCAACCTTCAGCCGAGGGGTCTCCATGCCAAAGACCTCCCCAGCTTTGCTGTGGACAGGGAAGGTTGGCGATGCGTCTGCGTTTCGTGTCTGGGGATCTCGGGCGTTTGTCTGCGGACAAGCTGTCCCCTCGTGCTGCTCCTTGCATCTTCCTAGGTTTCCCCCTTGACGCGCCAGGGTGGCAGTTCTACCACCCCACCTCTCGCCGTGTTCTTTCCTCCCAGGACGTCATGTTCGACGAGTCGGTCCCCTACTACCGTCTCTTCCCCTAACGCACTCCATCCCTCCCCCCGCCACCGATCCCTCCCCCCGCCACCGCTCTTCCTTGTGCCAGGTCCCCCCCCGGTAGACCTCCTTCTCCCTCAGGGTCCTGCCCCTTCAGGTGTGTCCCAGATAGATGCTGTTGAGCCTGTCGAGATCGCTGGTGACTCTGGTGCTGCTTAGGGTGCTGAGCCTGGGGGTGCTGACTCTGGGGGTGCTTAGCGTGTGGGTGCTACGCCTGGGGGTGCTGAGCCTGAGGGTACTACGACTGGGGGTGCTGAGCCTGGGGGTGCTGAGTCTGGGGGTGCTAAACCTGGGGGTGCTGAGCCTGGGGGTGCTGAGCCTGGGGGTGCTGAGCCTGGGGGTGCTACGCCTGGAGGTGCTGAGCCGGGGGGTGCGCAGCCTGAGGGAGCTGGGCCTGCTGGTGCTGTGCCTGGCGATTCTCCGGGTGCTTCTTCTCGCTGGGAACCACTCTCTCCACAGCAGCTGCGTGAGTGGTTTGCCCGGCGCTGGAGGCGAGCTGCTGGAGGTGCTGCGAGTACTAGAGGTTCTATTGCAGCTGAGGGAGTTGGTGACACGGGTCTCAGAGGTGCTTGTACTGGGAGTACTGGAGCTGCTAGACCTGCGGCTACTTCTGGAGCTGGAGCTGCTGCGGGTGTTGGCGCGGAGGCTACTACTGTCGGTCCTGGAGGCGGTCCTGCAGGGGGTACTACTAGTGCTGGTGGAGGTACTGGAGCTGGAGCTGCTACTGGTGCTGGTGCTGCCACTGGGGGTGCTGGTGCTGTCCCTGCTGTGTTCGGAGTCGCCGCGCGGCCTCGACGGTACTTCGTTCCGCTCCTTCAGCAGGTTCTTGGTCTCCCGCCTTCTACTGGTCCTCCTCCTCCCTTAGAGTGTCCACAGACTGTCCGTCACAGTTACAGTTACAGCCGGCCTCCCACTGCCTGCTCCGTCTCCCTACATTGGTCCTACTGGAGGTCTTGCTGAGCGTCGTGAGCCTGCGTCTCGCCCTACGTCGCCGGTCCGTGCTGCCCGCACTAGTGGTCGCGGTTCGCGTCAGCGTCCTCCTGTCCCTGGCACGCATCGAATGTCTCTGCGTCCGTCCACTGCTCCTCTGCGTACCCCTTTGCCTTCTCCTCCTGAGTCTTCTCTTCCTGCTCTTGCCGACACGGAGTCGGACTCTCTTCGTGCTGCCAGTCCTACTGTCACGCGTCTCCTTGCTACTGTTGTCACTGACCCTTCCTTTGAGTCCACTGCTGCGTTTGCCCTGGTTGCTGAGCTCGTCGACTTTGCTCCTTGCTGTCGCCTAGACTACGCCGCCAGTCTTGTTGCTGAGTCTGAGTCTATCTGTCCTCCGTCCGTCGGGGTGAGTTTGCCCTTGGCACGGACGTCCTTGAGGACAGGCAGGAGGAGTTCCAGTGCTTGGCCGCTGCTTCACCTCATCTCGTGTCCGTACTGCTTACCCCTGAGGAGACCCGGATGCACTTGACATCCCGACTCCGCGCTCTTACGCGGAGGCGATAGAGGGTCCCTACTCCTCTCAGTGGCAGGCAGCTATGGACGCAGAGATGGCTTCCTGGAAGTCCACAGGCACCTTCGTTGACGCTGTTCCCCCTCCTTGGGCGAACATCGTCAGTGGCATGTGGATTTTCAGGGTGAAGCGACCGCCGGGTTCTCCGCCTGTCTTCAAGGCGCGTTACGTGGCTCGTGGCTTCAGTCAGCGGCAGGGAGTTGACTACTTTCAGACCTTCTCTCCCACCCCGATGA